GCAAGTACTACCAAAGAGAAGGATTAAAGAATTTAAGATGAAGAAGGGGAGAGTAAGAGTGGAGAAGAGGAAAAGTTGAGAGAAAGAGAAACTGAAAGGAGGTTAGAGTTTGGGTATTTTATTTATTTCTATTTTTAAGATTAGGAAATTAAAAATTAGAAATTATTTTTAAATAATCTAATAAAAAAAAGTTTGGATCATTTCGGGTGACTCGACCCACCCATAACTTAACCCATTTGGATTTGGATAATTTCAGTCCGAATCATTTCGAATTTCGGATTGACACATACAACTTCTCATCCGACCCATAACGGATGAGTTGAGTCAGATTTTCGAATTGGATCCAATTTTGCCAATTTTACGATCAACCAACACTAATTAGCCTACTATCCTACAACCAAAATTTTGTTCTCCATGATTTCATATTTGATAACTCAATTAACAAACGTTGTTGTTGTTTTCTCTCTCTCTCTCTCTCTCTCTCTCTCTTTGATATTTTCTTTCCACCTCCGTTACTTCCCACTTGGCCAGCTATCATCAATTAACATCCTATGCCATTAGTTGTATAAAATCCCATAAATCCATTCCAGCTATCGTCCCATTAATAAACATGTATCTTTAATAAATTTAATACTTATTTGAACTCATGGATAGTCACCACACAATTTCTGGCTGTTTTAAAAGATTCTCTTTATTCTTGTCACCAATTTGAAAACAACCATCTAACTTCTTTTCTTTGTAAAGCTTCTGTCAACACACATTCACATGACTTATAAACTTTTTTATTAAATAAACAGCATATCACCTTAATAGGAATTCGGCAATCCAAGTTCTTCGTCCGATTCCATTCACAATCAAATTGATACTCTAGCCAATGAAACTCATTTATCCCTTACACCAACACCACCCAGCATACTTGCATCCTCAATAATTAATTTCCGTTCTCCAACTGGACTATTGATCACCATGAATCAAGAAAGATTACCTTAGATTGAGGATTAGGGTACGTGAACAAGTTTCTTATTTCCTTGAGTTCCCTTCACTAAAATCGGAGAGCACTACAAAAATATACTTCCTCTGGATTCCCAAAAATTAATTCATCCACTTAATCAGCTGTGAGAAACTAAAAAGAAAGAAATATTTGAAAAAAGGTTTATTACTTTCTTGTTTTCATTGTATATGTAAAAGACCTATATATAGATCTATACAATAAAATATTCCTAAGTACAAAACCAATTAACTTAAATGTATACTGTCACACCCCAAAACCCGAATTCGAGGCGCGACAAACGCCGTGCACTCGTGAGACGGGTCCCACAAGCGCACAAGGCTCGGAACTTATCCAAATCACATCTGACAATCCCATAACTCAGATCAGATATTTCAAAATTTCTTTTCTATGTCCACATGACTTAACCTCAAAATCTCCAGATCAAATCTCTTGTAAACTAACAATCCATTAAATACAGTTATAAAATCTCCAATCACAATCTAGCTTACAATATCATCATTTATATCTAAGATCCATATTCAAATTTCAAGATGGCTAGCCTTCTAACTCGTCACTCCCCTTGGTTTCCCCGTCCTCGGTTTCGCTTCCTGAAATGGTGGACAAGGAAAAACTATGAGATAAACTCAGTAAGTAAATATGGATAGCCCTCGGTAAAAACTTTAGCATGCCAGATAAACAGTTTAACATAACAAGACGTTCAATGACAAAATCAGATTCAGTTCAGTTGCAAAACATTCAATGACAAACCGTCAATGCAAAATCAGATTCAATTCAATAACAAAACGTTTCATGACAAACCGTTAATTAAACTCATAGCATGCCAACAAGTGTAATCATGAAAACCGATACAGTACGGGCACGAAATAGATGTCTCCTCAATAGGTCATGGCCAGTGTTTAAACCTCCCACTGGCAGGCTACAGTATTTGCTGGTGTTTAACCCCCACTAGCAGGGTCAGTATTTGCTGGTGTTTAACCCCCACTAGCAGGGTCAGTCGAACGAACCGGTCCTATCAATAACATGTCGACATGTGCTAGCGTTTAACCCCTGCTAGCAGGGTCAGTAATAACACGACCACATCGGAGACAAAACAGGCTGAAGTTAGCAGAAAAACACAATTCACCAATTACTTTCAGATCATCAGGACAATCAATCTCCAATTTCAGAAACAACCGGAAAATCTCCATGTGAGCATGGATTTAACAGAAAACTCAGAATTTACAAAAACTCTCAGTTCATCAAAACAGTTCAGTCAATTTCCAAATAGGCATGCT